CGCGGAGGTGCAGCCTCACAGAAGCAGGTGACACTAGGAGTAGAAACCCAAGAAAAAACAGTGTGTTTTGACTATGCTTCTAAAATTAGACTAGCAATAATTTTTTGTGCCCGTGAATAAGTTGTGTTACCAATCTGTCCAAAACTAAATTGTCTGTCCACCAACATCTCTTGAAAACATACATGGTAAATCGATCAACATAAAAACAAACAGTTTTTTTAAAGGATGCTGAGAAATAAAATCTGAAATAAGGGTCTTGGGAGAGCAAGCCCATTGGTTTGACCATAGGAGGCAGAAAAATATAGATGTAGAGATAGCTATAACCTGTAGAAGAAATAATACATATAAATAGATATAACTTGTAGGAAAAAGAATTTGATAAAAATAAAAATCAATAAGGAGTTTAAAGAAAAGCCTAATTTTAATTTAAAATCCCTGTAAAGAGGGAAGTATAGAAATATTTCTTAATTACACAAAAATTCTTTCATACAACTTTCTGTGAAATAACAATTAAAAACCTACATCAGTTTTAATCAATTTTAAAGGCTGAGGAGCAATTTATGCAGATGAACATACAATGACCTCACCCAGCTCAACAGTGAGGCACACACACTCTCTCCTAAATCAAGATAAAGATGTGGGATACAGGCTGTTCATCTTTGTCTAAGCTCACGTCCCAGATGCATTGCCCAACATGTGATAATGGAAAGTATCTGTACCCAGCACTGAGTGCCAGAAGCACATTCTCCAAAAGAGAAATACATGCTGCAAAAGACTAGAGGTAGAAAGAGGAAAAAAAGAATTAATTCTTAAATAGGAGTTACTTGACAAACAGAAGCAACTATGTTTACCTGCTTTTGATAACCTTTTAGAAATCCCAAAGCACTACACTGCAACACTACTAGGAAAACAAGACAAATGTGGGCATATTATATTAATATCTCATAAAAATAATTTTTAAAGGCTGAAACAAAAAACTAAAAAATATTTTATTTCTTTCCTGTGCTGAAGAGTCTCATAAATCTTACTGTGCTTTTTTTCTGACTATGGAAAATAGGGTAATTCTATTCAATTCAGGATAATGATGAATCAAGTACACTTATTTTCCTATTCTTTTCTGTCCATATGTTTGTATAGCGACCAGTCTGGGATGCTCAACTTCCTCTTCAGTTTCCACATTTTTCACTGGGCGTTTTACCAATGCTATTCCAGGGATTTAATTTCACAATGCTCAGTGATTCAAAGCAAACGGGGATCTGTGACCCTTGTATCCAAAGACCTGTCTGAGTCAAGAGAAAAGGATATTTCAAACAGAAGTGATGTTTCAGATTCAAAAAGTGCCAAGTCCACCTTTGAAAAAGTTGTTGTTTCACACCTAGCAGAGCTCTGCCCAGGCAGGTGTAACTGGAGCAAGATTGCCCCAGGCTCACTGCTGCTGCTAAGCAACAAACATCACACCTTGTACTTATCATTTTAGACTCTGATTCTTACTTAGGCAGATTACAGGCTTGAAGGGAAGTGTCTGTAACCAATAATAGGTATTCCGAGGTGTGATTATTATTTGAATGCTGATGACACTTTAGGATGCATAATCTTTACTGTAAAATGAAAGCTGGTAAGTATTGGACGTGTTTCAAGCTTTATAAAAGTTTGCTTGCTTTATAAAAGTTGAATCACAACTTCCATCAGGGGTGTGATGATAAATGCCAGTAGTTTCATATAATTGAAAATTCTGTTGTTTTCATAATGACTGCAAAATCATCTACTTTGGAAAACACTTATTCTTAGATAATAGAAATATTAACAATAGCAGTATTAACAAAGTGCACAGCAGCAGAGTGTGATCAAATAGAAGAATTTAACAGAATATGAAGTCAAAGAATATAAAGTCAAATACAAATACATTTTCAGTTTGTGATGAATTACTTTATTTCTACACAATAAATATATACTCATACAAATTATATTTAAGAAAAGTTATATATGGATGCATCAGATCACTACTTTTTGGTTTGGACACCACAAGGATATTATGTTAAATCTCACAGATCACTATCAGAAACTCTGGATAAATCTTTCCCTTTGAGTATTTTGTAACTGCAGTCTCTTCTGGCCACGGTTTCAACAGTGCTATTTCTTGACATCTTCCCTGTTTGTTTTCAAGCTTTCAACTATGACAGAAGGTATAGTTTGAAATCAACTTTTCAAGTTGCTCCATGCACATCAATTTTATCATTTCACATATTTTCCAAAGCCTGTAATATAAAATTTTTCCTAGCTTCATCATCACTACTTTTAGCCACTCATTTTGAATGATACCTGCATTTCATTCAAACATATATTTTCTTTCCATTTCTACTAGACACCTGTAACCATGTGTCTAGTCTGTTACTTCCACTGCAAGTTCTCTGAATCAAGAACTGAATTTGTTTAGCATGTTAACAGCAGATTATTTACTGAGTACAATAACACACATTAAAAATGCCAATAATTTCGTATTTTGTTGTGTATTGTTTTGCAATTTTATGTTACAGCATTACTACAAAATTAGTTACTTTTCTATCTTCCCTTTTTGAAGCAACAGTCTACACTGGTAACTGTCTGCAAGGTAAGTACAGACATGAGGGTCTTATAAGGTGAAAGTGCAGCAATCATGAAAAAAATAGTCCTATTCATACTGGATTTCTAGGATTAAAGGGAAGAAAACCAGTTTTGATGCAACCTGAGAGATATGCAGGGTGAGAAGATCTGACTCAAGTTTTGGTGCCTAGGACTTAGTAAGAGCGCTCTCCAAGGTGACTCACATTTGACCTGCCATGGTACAAAATGCCCAGTGGCAGCCGGGCAGAGATGAGACACAGGTGAAGAGAAGCCATCTTCTCTGTGCCAGAATGTACTAAGAGTCAGAAAATGGGCAGCACAAACCCAGAGATTTCTAACAAGCTCCATACACAGGCCCTCAAACTAACTTCCAGAACAGTCTTTTAATCAGCACTGTGATTAAAAGAAAATACAGTCACAGAACCACAGAATCAATGGGGTTGAAGAGGACCTTTAAAGCCCTTCTAGTCCAACCCTTTTGCAATGAACAGAAACAAATTCAGCTAGATCAGGCTTTTCAATGACCACAAATTTGTGTCTCACAGAGGAGATGCTGTATCACTCATAACCAAATTCAACACAACTGGCACTGTGCACTGGTACATGGAAGGTGACTCTGGCCCCAGCATAAAGAGAGTTCTGTGCACCATGGGTCCCACAGCTGCTCTCTAGTTATATTTCCATAAAGTTGTTTAGCTGACCAGTTTCTGCTCTCAGGGACACAAACATGAGCAAGCAACACCATAGCCCCAAGTGAAATCAGTCTCCTGAACCACAATTGTGAAGTGGTAAGATCTCTTTTCTGAAAAAGTATGGACAGAACTTTCAGAGTATCTGGAAAACTATCTGAGGCTGGAGAACAGCATTTTATAAGAACTGATCCTACTCAAGAGAAGTCCAGCTCCCTGTCACAGGGCCTTGGTCACCTTTTGCCAGACCACAAATCACACATGGAAGGTCCTGCTACTGTGTAATTTTTGTAACTGGAGCACAAATGGTAAACAAAATTATGGTGAGTGTTCAAACCAGGTTTTAGAGGCTTCCTTCTATCCCATACTGGATGACCAAGAGTCAAACACTGTAGAATGCTGGGTATGGATGGTCCCAAAACCAATTTATTTTCAAATTATACCAAGCTCCAAACAGAAATTTCCTATATATTTATTTACTTGGTTTTTATTTAAATGAAAATGTCTTCTGCAAACAATAATAGATTGGATTCAGATAGATTTGGAAAACAATAGGTTGACCTTCTCTTGCATGTTACCAGACAGCTGTATGAATCAATTTCTGTTCACTTTAGATACAAACCCTATTCAGTTATTCTACCTCTTGTTCAATTTCTTACACTTGCTTCATTCTCAAAATATGGTCTCAAGTGAATGGACATTCTTCAGAAGAATGTCACTTTATGTACTAGTTTAATTACTTTTAACTTTAATTTGTAACTGATTCACATTTTAGCATAGCAGACACTTCAATACTCGGTTGAAGAAATCCCATTTAAAATTTTTATTTACATAGATAGCTATGGAGGAAAAGATTTGAGATTCTGAACAGGAAAAAATAAAGAAAGAAAAGTGATATTGTTTGAGCAACTATGTAGAGATTTACCATACAGTCTCAAAACCTTACTCCAGAAAATTACTTCAGATACAGAACACTGGAAGATTGAGATATCCTGCCAAAAAAAGTGAGTGCATCAGCTGTACTCTAAGCAGTAGAAATTCTAATAGTCAAACTGTCAAATCTGAACAATAAGGAACACCTTTTTTATTTAGGAGCTGTTCCTCATAACCAGATTTAATCAAGCCTTCTCTCCATTTGCATAATTTCTTCAAAACGCTAGGGATAATGCTTTGCCATTTTCAATATTTTTTCCTACATTATGAGCATGCTTCTATCAAGTGCGTTTTTACAGTGCTAAACAAGAAATTTTGTCTTCAAGAAAGCATTAAATCTCTTTGTAATCTCTTGGCCTTACTGGCAAAATACTGGCATTTGACTTTCTTCTGAGACAATGGGAGTGTGCTTTCTTTCATGAAAACTGTGTTTAATGGGTGGAACCCAAATCCCCAGTCAAAAGCTGTAATAGTGCATAAAACTACCTCACTTTGGGAGATATCTCCCACTTCTTCTGTTACATATTATTTTTAGTAGGAATGGCTGGCTTTTCTGTTGTGCTTTCTTGCCTCCAATGCCTGACTTCTTTGCACATTCTGATACAAACGTGCAAACAGAAGACAGACATCCCCACACAATGCCTCCTTCCTCTGTCCCAATGCCCTACCAACTTTCTGTTGAATTCCGTGTGTTGAGGACAGAGCATGTTACAGGAGCTGGAACTGGAAACAGGCTGAAACAAAAACAACAGGAAAGAAAGGGTGAAGAGGACTTACTGGTACGTGGTGGGACTGACGTTGATGCGGCGTGGGTGACTCCCTGACTCGAACTTGCTCGCCAGGGTGACGTTGTTCCCAAAGAGGCAATAGCGCGGCATTCTCACACCGACGACGCCAGCCAGCACTGAACCTGAGTGAATGCCTATCCTCATCTGGAAAAACACATGAGACACACGTCAGGCTGCCTCTCCTGGGCCACCAAGGGCAATGTCATTAGCACTCAGCTACAAGCAACCCTTTCAAATAAAGAGTAAACTAAAAAAGAAAGAGTGAAGTGGAAAAAAAACCAGACTCTATTCTATTCTTCTAGCTTAGATCAGATGCACTTAAAAGAAAGAAGAACAAAAAGATTATTATCTTTTCACTAAAACAATTTTCTTCTGTGCACATTTGCTGGAGACTGTGACAGTCAAAATAGAGATCATGAACAGAATAGGTTGGGATCATCCAGAGCTACTGCAACATCAGCCATCTAATTACACAAATATATACATTACAAAGGTTATTTTTGCCACCACTTCTAACACAGGCTTTGAAGTAACAGCCAGTTTTTCTCAAACTGGCAGGAAGAGTAGTTAAGGTTTATCTCCTCCATATTTTTCTTCCAAACTCTTCAAGGTCTAAGGTCTTTATCACTTTGTCAGACAGAGAGATATTGCAGTGGTGAGAATGCTGAAGACTGAGGCACCAATGATTTTAAAGGTAATTGTATCCTCCTCAAAATAAGGAGGAATAAATCCCCAACAAATTAAAAAAACCAAGCGACTATTTCAGCAATCATTCCCTGTAACTGTCTGAGATCTGGCAATTGCATCGACCTGTATAGCTCAGTTACCATCCAAGTTTCCTTCAGAATGAATAATCAGAGATTTATTCTGCACACATTTTAGCTAACAATTGTGTTTGCCAAGAAAATGATTTTTACAGATAGGGAAGTCTTTTTCTCTTGTTAACTTTATAACAGTTAAAAATTAAAAAGAAGATATTTATATCTTCTGAGGATACTCTTGCTCATAGCAACTGGATTGCTGCAAAACTTTAGGTGAAGGAAATAAATAGCAGCTACTAAGAGGGTCTGATGGGGTAAGAATGAGTGACTTACCTAACACTGTACTCAATATGGTCCTTTTATTTACTTAATTCACAGTTATTGCACTGTCCTTTTGTCCATCAGTCCCTATTTTTTTAATAAAAATATACACATGGACTCAAACACAAATTTTAAAAAAAATCATTGTTACTCCTTTTTTATGTAAAGAAAATGCCAGCATTTGATAACATTGGTGTCCATGAAGTTCTAGGAACATGTGGGACCCCACATTTTTTCACTGACTATGGTTCTTCCCACATGTCCAAGACTTCCATCATGCAGCTAAGCACTCTTCTAATTTTGTTCCTCTCTTAAGTGTCACAGACAATGTGTTCAGAATTATATCTGTTATACAGTAAGCTCCTGCATAATCTAAGGACATGTTCTGCATTTGATACTACTTACAACATTCTCACAGGAAGCCTAAAACCCTCAATTGTCACAATAAGACTGTTAATTACAGACTAGGTTGTTTGGTTTGTTTGTTTCTCTCTCCTTCTTTTGTCTTTTTTAAATCTGTGAATAAGAATCACTTGAGTGATTCTTTAAGTTAAGAAGTTCACTCTAATTGAACTTTCAAACCTTTACTATGGTTTGGAAGGCAGACACAGAAATCCTTCAAATCCTCTCTTCCATAGGGCTGGGAAGCAGCCACTAGCTTAGTTTGCCTGCTAACATTTGTGCAAATTCATAACACTTGGGTTATTTTGGTCATCTTTTGGAGCAATAAGATTTCCTGCTTTTGCTACAACATGCATTTAAACTCCACTTTCCATTACCAGTGGAAAAAAGTGCTCCTGCAGTCATGAGTTGGGTGAACAGCTGTTCTCCCTGTAGGTGAGGTCAGCACCTGCCCTCAGTGAAAGACTATGAGCAGGAAGTTTTGCTCACACAACAATGAGCATGCTTTCAATAAATAATAAACAACCTATTTACAATGTCTTGTTCTTGTGAGATGGGAGGTGACATAGTAATTTTGCACATAATTTTAGGAACAGAGCTAATGAAACTCATTTGTTCCATTGCTACTCTGCATGTTTATTTAAAAATCACAAATTAACTGTGTGCTGTGACCTCTTCGACAGTACATTCAATCACATGTAAAGGCCAGATTGAAACTGTAAGGAAAAGTATCAGCCTTGTTTTCCTCTAAAAACACAGGAATAAGAGTATACACTAGAGAGGATGGAAAATATGACAGTAAAAAAACATACTAAGAAAATAAAATTTGCTTTTGCAATATATGCAGTGAAAGCTGAAGTTATTGTTGGTTGTTTTGTTACTTTCATTCTTTCCTTTTCATTGCTTCCTTTTATATGGCCACATATTTTTTTATTACTCAGTGCTTCAGTGACAGACATGAGGGTTCTTCTGTACTATCTTAAGAGATTTTTAAAAAACACTTGCTGCTACAATTGAAAAAAGTAGATACTGTCTCACAAATACAGGTTAAACTGTGTAGGGAGAGACAAAAGCTGAAGTTTTCATTTGGTGGAAGAAAGTTGATGTAGGCTTTCTCAATAAAACTTAGACATAAATTACACTAAGAATGGTTCATAATAAAGCTCCACATCTGCTTTATTATGTAGCTCTCTACAAGAAAAGAGCCTGCAAACACTGATGCTCTTGCCATAAAGTATTCCTTCATGTGCCTTATTATACCAAGAATAACCATTATATTGGTCCTATAGTACTTTTTAGAGAAATATGTTTACTTAAAAGTGTCTTTTCAAGATTTTACTTCATTTGCAGATTCTTTGTTCTGGTCTTTTCCTCACAGAGTTGAAAACTGTTGTGTTAACAGCTTCAGGCTCTTTTTTACAAAGGAAAAAACCAATGTGATCAAATTATTAATAAGAAGGCACTTACAGGGGCACATCAACCTTTCACATTACCTTTGCAGTAAAGAAAATCTGCCTAGACCACATAACTTAGAACAATACCAACAACAGTTACACAAATAAAGTTATAGTTCCCAGGCTATATTGTACATGTAGCCCTTATCAGCGCTCTCTCAGAACAGTCACCATTAAATATTAAAAATAGCACAGAAAGTGAAAATGAGGTGACAACACTAGGATTCAATTTTTGTCTACCATAACTCTGTTTATTCCTTTAAATATATGTGTACTACAAATTACACATCTATTAACTGGCTCAAATGGAGCGTTTTTAATAAAATGTATGGTTTTCATCTGTACCAACTGTTCCTTTGTATGTCCTTAATTATTTGGCTAAAGATAATAAGGAAGTCTTAGCCGACCCAAATTCAGATGCATTATGCACACAAATGGAAAGGTGACTCTTTGGAAACTATCACAAAGAGAAGACAGCTGTGAAAAAAAAACAACCAGTAAATATCATTCCTCCAAGAGGTGAGGAACAGTGAAGAGATCCACAAAAGCCAAAGACATTTCTAAAGCATTATCCTGGAAGGCACAATGGCAAAACAGACATGAACAGGTGGGGAAAATACTGAGAGACCTGTGAGAGATGTTTTAGATGAACAGGGACAACTTGAACTGAGTGCAATGAAAAACAAGAAAAAAAGATTAACAGATCTGATCTCTGCAAGAGCTGTGGTAATAGTGAAGTGGAGAAAAGCTGATGAGTCAGAGGTGTAAAAGAAAAGCAGCCTGCACTGACCAATGCAATGTGAGAGGAAAGACGCGGCTATGTGCAAAGCAAAAGAAGCTTCCAAAGCTTGTATTAAGAAAGTAGCAGTGTTTGAATATTTCTTACTGATAAGGCACAAAGAGCAGAAATGTCTAATACCTGAGTGACCAGAAGGATAGTGATTTTGTTTAGTAGAGATAAAGAAGAAGATTCATAAAGAAAGATGAGAAAGATGAGAAGCACTGGTCACCATCTAAAATGAGCAGTGGAAGTGTGCCAGAAGTGGTATCAGTGAGAGCTGATAGTGCAGACTAGACCGCAAGAGGAAAGTCAAGAACAGACAGGAACAAGGATGAACAACACAAAAATATTTGCTCTTTTTCTGAACTGAACATTCTGTTACTAAATTCTTCTGATGTCCCAAATCTTAAAAAAATGTATGTTACTTCTTTACACCTCCTCATTGCCAAAGCATTATTTTCCTCTTTTATATCTAAAAGAACTGGGGTTTTTGCTTTGTTTAGTTTTGTTTCTTTTTTTATCTGCTCTTCAATTTCAATTACTTGCAATTGCCTGAATGCCTTCTTAGGCACGATACTGAAAACTACACTCTTACATCAAAATAAAGCCTGTTCCAACTGAGATGAGAGTAAATGCAACACTGAAAATTCACAACTCATCTAAAATTAACCTTATAGGCAAGTGGCAAAAATATTTTAATAACAGTAAATGAATGCAGTGGCATGCCTGAAGTAAATTTCATCATTGCTAATTTGCTTCTTAATAGCTTTTTCTGTTCATCAGTACTCTCAAAAAAAAAAAAAAAAAAGAAAATTCAGTCATTTTCATTATGGTCAAAGCTCTTGAGTTTTTTCTCTTTTGAAACCTTTTCAAAAAATGTATTCTCCTTCCTCTTTCTGTATTTCTCCACATAATATTCAAGACAAAAATTAAATGCAAGTGGAAAGACAGTCTGAGACGTAGCACTTGCCTACTCAATAATGTTTTTGAAAACCTCCTCAAATCCAGAATTTTTTGACCAATATATGTTTGTGTATTGATAAGCAATAGAATACATTAACCTTATTTCTCTTCAGTCAAAACTGAGACATTGCACTACAAGATTTAAAACAATTCTTTATTAATTAGACCACAGAAAAATCGTTCAAACTGTAATGATTTCTGAAAGGAAAATTAAGCAGGTTTCAAATTATTCCTCAAGCTTCATATGTACATGGTACTGTGCAAAAATATTTGCAATTTTTGGTATGGGCTTACAAATCTATTTTAAAAAGCATAATTCATGCTTTATTCAGAAAAAAAGACTAATAGGCAATAGCATAGAGAATTGCATAAGGGTATGACTGTGAAGAATGATTTCTGAGTTGAAAAGAAAAGGACTGCAAATATTTTTGCACAGCACCATGTACATAAGAAGCTTGAGGA